ATATATGATACGTCGTACTGTAGTCTTTGGTGTGTTTTCCATTTTCTAGTCATTAAAAACAAAATCGCTTGTCCATAATGTAGGCCTCAACCGCCTCTGCGTCTTGGGTTTTTTTTTTCCGATTACTGTACATTAACATATTTTTCAACGTGGTTGTTTCTAAACTGGGCATACGGAAATTTTAAAACCCACCGTTTTCTAAAACCTTTGAAAACCCGAATACTCTGTACCCACACAAAATTCTAACGAAACAAGGAATGGTTTCAGTAAGAAATGAATATGGCTGCAATGGCTAAAAAAGGTCTGTCCACACAATCAATTTTATTTGACAAAAACATGTGGCATACCTAAATATATGGTCATATGATGGTGACATCACATCATGACCATATATATTCACATCTTGTCTATGTATGGGTATACAAATTTTTTTTTGTCAAATAAAATTTGATAGTCTGGACAGAGCTTAAGACTTAGGCTCATGAAGAAACAGTAACCCCCCACCCCCAACCCACTCGGACAGGTCCTTGGTCGGGGCTTCGTGCTCCATGGTAGAAGATCATTGATTCAACCCTGATATGTAGCCCACGACCCAAATTATATATCAAGCACTCAGACGCGACCCATCGAACCCGAAGCCAATATATCACGTCCATCGATTTATACGCGCGAGGGAACCGTCTACTTGATTCTTTTGGCAGTCAATTAAAAGATACTATAACCCACAACATCAATTTAAGACGCCTAAGAATGACAACATAACTTTGAATTACTCATTTAACCAAACCACTAAGTTATCAAATTTTTCAATAAGATCAAGATTTAAAAAAAAAAAAATTAATGATTTACAGACATTATATTATAAGTTCCTTAACTTGCTGCCAGATGGGTTATGCGAAGACAGACACATTAAGTTGAAAAATGTTTTCTTCGTTATAATTTTCAGCTGAAAGCCAAACATACCTGAAGTACAAATGTTTTTATAGTATATTTTTAACATGAAACTATGATTAACGCACGCATTACAAAAGTAAACTGACGCACATTTTCACTTTCATTGCACTTTCGTTTACTGTAATTTGATTTGGTTTGTCCTCATTCTTATTAAGTGGTGTTTTCACGACCTGAAGAGATTATGCGACCCATCAAAATTTGTCCACGACCCAAACATTGGGTCGCGACCCATAGGTTGTGGAACGGTGATTTGAACCATAGAGTTTTTTTTTTTCTCTATGTTTGAACACAAAGCTCCACGCAATGTTTGTCACGTCTTTGGCCACACGTTTAAAAGCTAAACGTGTTTTGACATAGCTTAATGTACAGTATTTAGGATCTTGACGTATTTAGCATGATGTCAAATACCTAAGCACCTTTAATGCTAAACACGTCAGAGAACTAAACAAATTAGGCCTGGCCTAAACACGTTTAGCTTTTAAACGTGTCACCAAAAACGGGACAACATTGCGTGGAGCTTTGTGTTTAAAAAAGTTTCTTATTGAACCAATCAGTATCGGTACCATAGGGCATGATAGTTACTGTAAGTAACAGTAAATACACAACAAACATGCGACATAAGGTTGCTATTACTTAAAATTTTAGTTATGCGCTATTTTGAGGGTTTGTGCAATAGATGATAATGTAAGCCTACATGATCAAAATTTATCAACAAAACGAAATACATTAATCTTCTTCCAAAGTGCTTCGACCTTCGGTTTTTTTTTATTTACTAAAAACTATACAACAAAATATTCACAATTTCAACCAATACTCAAGTGTAATATTTCAATAATTAGGCCTTTGATGATCATTACCATCTTGAAGAAACATACAGTAACTTTTGCCAACACTATCAACCGTCGGTAACACTGTAAACTATCGGTGGGATACGTAATATCAGCTGGGATTTGCAGTGCCGACAGTAGATTATCCCGGCTCTGCAGTGGTAATTTTAATGGCGGTTCGTTCATTCATAATGGTTCAACAATGCTGGCTTCATTCTATTTCACTGAGACTGAGCATGGAGGGTATAAACATATATACCTCCATGGACTGAGATACCAATGAATAGTGTTGAAAGACGATCAGTTAAGACATATATTTGAGCACCGTATACACTATTCATTGTAGGCCTAATAAATCTGAAGCCGAGATTTTTAGGATCCAAGTGGTAACATAATAGTGTCGGTGGTATCTATAGAAACTTAAGATCTTTTATACTTCTACTGGTAATGAAAAAAAATAATTACTGGACTTGGCCTATCAAGTTATTTTCTACTCAAATAAACATGCGTACTTTTGGACACGGATAACTGAATTGTGGTATGGCTGATTGACTGATTATAGATACGTGGAATTTGAATCATCAAAATTACAATTTCATAACGACTATAATCGTAACTATTACACATAATTCTAAGTAAAGTGTATAGATAGGGAAAAAATGAATGTGCACACAGTATATTTACCCATTAGCTTGGAGGTCGCTATTCAAATTGAAAAAAAAGAAAAGATAAACGGTGGGTGATTTGTGCTGTACACAGTCGTTGCTTACATTCTGAGCAAAAGTCTTTCTCTATTTATACACTTTTTGGTCTAAGTACCTAACTAAAATTAGCACCATTTTAATCAGCATAACAGCGTAGTACTTTCGGTCATTAAGGTATACGTTGACAAAAAAAAAATCAAAATATAATATAAATTCGTTGTAAGTCATTCCAATGTTTATTACAAAATGTTAGTAAAACAGTATAACTACGCCATATTGAAAGTTTTGACACTTCAAGACACCATTAAAAAATGAATAACAAATGTGTTTATCACTTAAATAATGATAAAAATATCAAAAATAAATACTGATATTAATGCTACGGTATGGTATAATGAAAACCATAAATAGTAATAAACCTAATAGGCCTATCAATAAAAATAAATGCAATAAGTATACAATGTAATGATAGTGGTAGTAGTAGTAACAAATAACAAAATAGCTATAAAAATAATCCTAATAATAAATAATTATTATACTAATACCAATAATAACAATCAATAATAATAATAATAATAATAATAATAGTAATAATAATAATAGTAATAATAATAATATTAATTCCCATCGTTAATTTTTGTCGTCAACCAATAAAAGTTAAATTGAGTTCTTAAAATACTAATAGCAAACTTATTAAAGCTATTTGACACAATTTGATAGCGAGGTTACAATGCATCATTTGAAGTCTCTCATTAATTTTGTTCAGATTATTTGATAATTGAGTTTTCACATTTTCCTTTAGATTTACACAGGCAATAAATCAGCTGCAGCGATAATTCGCAAAGAAAAAGTTAAACCCAATAAAAAGAGTCATTGATTCTTTAAAAATAACCACATAAGGATACACACTTGTAGTGCAATTCATAAATATTACGAATTCATAGCCATGTTTACTTAATTTACTTTAGAAAGAAATAATATAATAATCGCATCTCTAAAACTAAAATCACGATCAAACTCAAAGGTGACCGTACAAATAATGTCTCTATAATTAAAGATAAATGAAGATTAGTCGGGGATTTTTCAAATGCTAAATCATTGTACAGACACACATATAGGTACATCGATTCACTCACGTATTTAGTACCTCAAATAAATATAAACATTCCTATTTCTACAGATATTAATACGACATGAATTTGCTAAGGATTTCCCTAACTAGAAAGCAATAATTCTTATAAAAATAAAACAAAGTAATACTAAAATGTAACTAAAAACTTAAGACTATAGGAACTATTTTCTATCAATAGAGACAATGTACAGATGAAAGAAAGTGGGGAAAGAAATAGAAGAACATTAACAGTTGCATTTTAATTTACAAAGACGTGTGAAGACATATCTCGCGGGCTCACACTAAAATATAGTCATCATAAACAAAGGTAGAGTGGGTGGATAAGACAGGCGTATGAACATAATATTAGTGAGTTAAAATATTTGGTGCATGACTTTGAAGAATATTTGAAAATAAATTATGGCAGAGTAGTAGTTTACAAGAACAAAATTAATACAGAAATAAGAAAAATATAAATAAATGTCAAGGTTGTTATATTTTGCAAAAGGAATTAAAATATTTTGTATAAAATGTTGTTGAAGGTGGTATTGTTTCCAGTTCCGTAGAAATATTAATCCCTTTGGTTCTGAAATTGCGATTGTGAATTCTATCTTATACAATATTTTCATTTGAAACAAGCGTTGCCAAGTTCAACTTTGAACCCAACTGATTGACTTGACCCATGGACTGATGGAATGGTGATGACGTCGATTATTGGTAACTTGTTTGGATCCTGACTTCGGAAAAGGAATTTTGTGGTCTGCCACCTCGTATCAGGATGCTGTGATTCAAAATAAACATTAATAACTCTTTTTAAATAAAATCAAGGTTAAAATACAAAAAATTACAATTAATTTTTCTTTGGAATAGGGGTTTAGTTCTGCATTCTGTGATTTAGTTTCGCATTCTGATTTTTAGTACCCCCAGACCGAAACCAGCCTACGCCATTGAAACTAATACGAAAAAAAAACTAGTTGTTATCAAAACATTAAACTTCAGAGCAGTCAACATTCTGCAAGTTAAATTGGTTGATATTAATAAAGCACCTTACGCAATTGGTAGCCAGATTGTCTTCAAACAAATTAAGAAGCCCAATACATTCATAATTAAAAGCATGTTTAAAAAAATGATACTTAAAGTGAATAGCAAAAGCTACGGTATTTCAACAAATATTTGGAAATGGACCTTTCATCTAAGCCCGGCCTCTTGGATGTTGCTTTGCGAATTGAACACGTGCGTTTGTGGGACAACACCAAAGATCTTATAAACACAAGATAGCGTTCTCCGCGATTTACGCGTAACAAATAGAAGTGTCGGTCAAGGTTCAAAAGTTTCCAATTTAGCAAGAGGGCGCCATTCATGCGCTATTACCAGAGCCGTAGATAGAGCATAGAGCTATTAAACAACTAGAGTGCTGACAAGATGGCGAAGCAATGCAAAGTTGTGTATGTGTACCATCCAAGATGGTTGCCGTAGGAAAGCGCCACCTTTAGGTCTGGTATACACATTATTACCATAAATAAGCCCTCTGGCAGACTATTATTTCATTAATGATAATTAGTATTGATAATAACAAATTATTAAACTATCGTAGCCAAAAAGAGGCCAAGTAGAGCATCTTATTCAAAAATTAAAACAAAATTAAAATCGTGTACAATACACTCATACACCACAACGCTCGAGTTTAAAACATACGGGTAAGTAGGTGTACTAAACTTTCTGTGTAAATTAAGGGCACCATAGTGCTTAGGCGAAATTTGATTGGCTGAATATATGGCAGCCATCTTGGATGGTACATACACACAGCTCTGCGTATTTCGAACATCGAATACATTACAGTTAGCGCTCTAGTATTCTTATTGTATCTCTATGAGATAGAGAGAGTTTGGCCAACTCTGTTTCACGGGATTCGATATACGCGCGTGTGATTGGGTGGATCGCAATCACATGAATTACACCGGCCATGTTGTCACCAAAACAAACGTTAAAGCTATACGCGCGCATGCGCTTGGGCTGTTTGGTAACGACATGGCGTCCATGCGTCAAGTTGGCCAAACTCTCTCTATCTACGGCTCTGGCTATTACTATAGGAACTCTAGCTATTACCAAAGAGAAAAAGTAATCAGTTTTGGAAGAGGGCGTCCTATCTGTTGCCATGTATCTGAGATGGTTCCTGTTCTGCTGTTCACAGGATTGATACCCTAAAGGTGAAGTCGCGCGGTGTACGGTATGATCAGAGCGGTCAAGGGTCAAAAGTTTACAATTTAGCAAGAGGGCACCATTCATGCCTTATTACAGAATTTGCACGCGTAAATCGCGGAGAACGCTTGATCTTTTATAAGATCTTTGGACAACACGTGTTTCAATCAAGTTTGATTGATACCTTAGAAAGGTCCATTGACAGAATAAGCTCGTTAAGTACTTTATAGTATACATACCTTACACTGGTCAGATAGGACAGTTGGTTTGAACTGACCGTCATGGCGGTACACACTACCATTCCAGCCTTTGAATTTGATAGCGTGTTGATAACCACCGTCTGAGCTTTCCCAAACTGATATGTTTCTACAGTGAATTGTAACTATTTGGCTCCCCTCTGACGTCAGTAAATGTAGAAAATTAAGCTGTGGTCTTGTTATTCCATACATGTACTGGAATAAACCAATCGAGAAACCATTCAATAAATGAACTCATAAATAATTCAATCGAACAGAAATCAATTTAAGATTCAAAATTCAAATGTAAATGTTTTATTATAAGATAAAAATATAAACCATCATTTTTTTAACCGAACAATAAACCAATCGATATATAAACCTACGATCTATGATAAAGCTAATGGTAAATAATGATGTAGTGTATAACTGATCGTAATATTAAGTTAGATACCTACCCTACTTGGATCGCTCGGTATAAGACATGATTCGCCATTATTTGTGAAATTACAATACACTTCTACAGCGTCTGTGGGGCATCCGAGATTCGGATCGATCCAGTACCGTCCTGGAAAGTAAAAACAAAACAAAAAACGTCTATTATTGTGCTTTGAATAATATTATCATTATCAAAATGTGCAGTCACTCCACAGAATGCATACCTTCGCCCTCTGCATGAATACCGAGCAATACGCAGACCGTGTATGATAAGCGATTCCACTTTTTTATTTCATGCTTGAGGGTTAATTCAAGGGGAAGCAGGAAATCGAATTTTCGAGACTTTGACCTTGTCCATTTCTTACCAAAATTGAATCACCTATTTCTTAGATTATGTACCATTCCACTAAATTTTATGATGACCCATTCCTTAGTTTTTGCGTAATCTTGCTAACAAAAGACAGACAGCAATGAATAGGCCTACATAACCTCTTTGACGGAGGTAATAAACAATAATAATAAATTCAAAATTCAACTTTATTACAATCAATTAAAAAATACATATAGTACCATTTTGCAAATAATCGTGACAGTCCAAAATGTCTTTACAGCTCCGTGCTGGTATATCACGTGTCCCCAGTGGATAGCGGACTCCCTCAATATACTTAGCTACGTACCGTAGCATATAGAAGACATCTGTATCCTAAAGTATTAAAACAATATGTATATACATTATACTGACAACAACAAATATTATGTGTCTTGATTGAAAAAGAAGATTGATATGCACAAAGTGTTACGTCATACGTTAGGTAGAAGCATAAAAAACAGTTATAAAGCAGTAAAAACACAGGCAGATACGTTTAAGACAAATATTGAACTTGGTGACTATAAACAAATATTGAACAGGTGACTATAAATCCTTGTCCAGACCATCAAATTAATTTGACAAAAACATGAGAAATGCCTAAATATTATTCATGACATCACATCATGACCATATAAAGGCACATCTTGACTATATATGGGCATAAGTGAAAGTTTGTTTGTCAAATTATTTCATAAGTGGACCAAATTTAAAGCAAACTATAAAATTTTATGTGACAAAATTTTATGAGTTGCCCATAATATGGGCATGATGGTGTCACATCACATATGAGCATGATGATGTCATATTTGGCATTCCCATATATAGACAAAGCACAGGTATATGTCACATAGAATATGATACTGAGAAGGTAGCTTGATAGAAATATACACTTACGCCTGGTCCATTTCTGTTTGGCATTGTGAAAAGATGATCAAATATTTGTGCTATTGCCGCAGCATCACTAAGATATACCGCTGTTGCCTAAACAAACATAAGATATACAAATTAAGAGTTAAGCCACAACGAAATGACAAAAGCATAATTGCAATATTAATTATCGTTATTGGTAGACTTCCCGTCGATATATACTGTAATCACGCGGTACTGGGGAGGGACAACTTGATTTCCTGCTCCAAAACAAGACATCCATTCGTAGAAGCCTTTAATATGAAGAAAGTCTACCTAAAATGAGCTAGATTGGCGCGAGACCAGGTAACTCCGACTTTGAATAATAGCAAGGTTGAAATGTATATAATAAATTAAATAATTTAATTTAAAAAAATGATTTAAATGTATTAATAGAGAAATTTTCTTCTTTTTTTTTGAAAATTTACTCATACTCATACATTTATACAAGTACATAAGTACAACTACTAATTTAGTTTTTGAATACTGTAATGGCAAACATAAATGTATAAATATACTTCAGATGAGAATAAATGCTTAAAATGTAATACTAATATACAACAATAAGACATGTAAACTAACTTACAGGTAAACCTGGAGGTCCCTGAAAAATAAAAAGTAAAGAATAATGATCTATTATTAATTTATTATTATTACAAACTTTATTGCCGACACAAAATTAATTTTGTGTCTGATAGTTCATCACATTTTCGATGAATTTACAAAATATAGAACATCTTTCTAAATCATTTTTCATACATTCCATTATTAATTTACTAATTTATTAACATACACTGTATCCTAAAGAAAGGTTTATCAACACTATGTTTTAGAAACATTACATTACAATGTTTATAAAAACATAAATATAAACACCTAAAAAATCTTACCATTGGCCCTGTCTCTCCCTAAATAAAAAAAAAGTAAATATTATTAACAAAATAGCAATTTACAATTTTATATATAATAATAATAATAATAATAATAATAACAATAATAATACAGTATAATCAGGGAACAGTGTAATTTAACTCTTCTCTGAGTGTAATGTAATATTAAAACCTCAAATGATATAAATTGCTTTAATCCTTTAAGAGTGACGATATTAATGTCATTAATATTATCATTAATTTTTTTTATTCGTTATTATTTTTATCCTTAAAATCATAATTGTATTATTATCATCATCATCGTCGTCGTCGTCATCATCATCATCACTGATACCAATATTTAGTTGCGAAAGTAAGAAATAATGACATAATAATAATAATAGATGGATTTATATAGCACAGATAAACGAGGTCTCTATGCGCTCGGGACTAAATGTTGCACTTTTCAATAACTTTCTCCTCCCCTGAGGGTCACTTCATGTCCACCGCAGCCAGTAAACTGGCGCACTTTCATCTGTCCACGACAGGGGCCGAGTGAACCAGTACACCGGGGTAACCCCTACTCATCTCGAAAGATGTACTGGGTTCTTTAAAGTGCACATGAGCATTTGCGTACACTGGGCCTACATTTTATAGTCCTTATCCGAGAAGACTTGTTCCACCACCAGAACTATAGGAGCGAACCGGCTGCGAACCTGTGCCGATATTGTTGGCTATGATCACGGTGCCACTGCATAAACCGCCCGGCCATTAGGCCTATAGAGTACTAATATATTTGTTGAACAAAAATGATTAAATAAACTTCAAAAACACCATGTGAAGTATAAATTCTATATTTATTTATTTTATTATTATTTTATTGATTCATTTGGAATTAAATACTTACAGGATAGCCCCGATCAGCCTGTGCGATTAAAAGATGAGAAATGAGAAAAAATGTTAATATGTTAAGCATTTATATAATACAAGATTCACTAGGGCATATAAGACTGGGTTTTATATATAGTTAAATATATTCATTATAAGCCAATCGTGACGCAATCAATACAGTATTTGAATAATGGCTCCTTCTTTAACTAAATGCTTAAGTGCGTATTGAAACTACTACTATACTTTCTGTTCATAATGTAATCAGAGCATTATCATATCTTAAAACATTTTTAATTCGCCTAGGAAACAAATTCTATATTAGAAATGAACTATCCTTACCGCATCACCCCTTGGTCCCTGGAATTAAATAGGAAAAGATAAATAAATGCCATTGTTAATTTTATTATGTTAACATTTACTACTATCATTATGACTAACGATTATAAAATGGTCCATCTGAGCCGATATTAACTAAAATATTACTCAATGCGGTTCTAAATTTTTTTTAGAAACGCATAAGGTTTAGAATTGGTAAGTTGCAGTATAATGAAATGAAGAAAAATATTTCAATATGCAAAAGGCCTTACTTTTGGTCCTTTTATTCCAGGAAAGCCGGAAATACCCTGGTGACCCTCAATGCCTGGATTTCCACGCGGTCCCTATGCAAGAAATGTACAAAAAGTGGTTATATACAAGAAAATTACAATAAAATATATCCCTAGTAACGCCATAACAATACAGCACATACTGAAAACTTGAATGGTCTAAAAAGTAAGTATCACATTTTATATACACAATTTACCTCAACTCCTGTATTACCAACGTCACCCGCCACTCCCTGTCGCCCTCTCTGTCCTTTGACACCCTTATTAGTTGATAAAATAAAACAATCCAAATGAAAGTTGAGTTAATATAAAACTAAAATATACAATATAACTTCACTAGTTGTATATGGATGTCAGCTTACTGAGATTAATTTTGATGGTTTTTAAGATCTTAGGTAAAAACTAATAATCTAATAATAATCAACAATACTCACATCCCTGTATAACGAGACTAAGTTTACTGTACGGTTCGGTTAGAAAATAATAAAAATAAATAGGAAAATATAAAGCAAAGTACAAGTATGGCAATGACGTCATCTTACCATTGGCCCTGGCGGGCCTGTATATCCCATTAATCCCTTTGATCCTGGTAAGCCCTTAAACATAAAGCATAACGAAAATGTATTTATTGAATTCTAATTACCGTACGCTCATTTCGAAGGGGGAAAACTTTGCTGAGGTTGACACGATATATTAAATACCGTATATATAAACTAAAAGCATATATCTGAATATATATATATATATATATATATATATAAGTCATCGGTGTAAATTCTGTCTCTTATACACATCTTTTACCTGTCGTCCCGTGCGACCCTTTTCACCCTTTTGACCTTGAGGCCCTGGAAATCCAGGGGGTCCAGCTATACCTTCAATCCCTGCCACACCAGCACTTCCTGGTGAACCCTGTGATAACATAATGATAGATTACTCTGCTTATACTACTTTAGTATCAATTTATAAAACAAACACTTTAATAAATAATTATATTTACGTATTTATATGATCAACGTTTAATTATTGGCCGAAAGTTTGTAAAGAGCATGAAAGTCATATTGATATTTAAAATACCACTACTGATAAAAAAAATTGTGTTATTTTAAACTGTGGTGGTTATAAAAGAACATAAATGGTGAATTATTTAACGTGTAGACTTGCATTATAGCCCTATTTTTTACTGAAACGAAATTTATTGTTGATCTATAATTATTATGAATTATTATAATTTAATTTTTTAAAAATCCTAATCTTTCTTCCTGTTCTTTGTTTATTTTATTCTGAAGTCACTGCTAAATGTGTCTTAACAAGACGTCTACGAATGTATGCCTTGTTCGATATGTTGTTTTAAAATCACCAGAAGTAAACCTACCGGGTGTCCTCGGTCGCCTTGGTCGCCTACTTGCCCCTTTTGCCCCTGTAATCCCTATAGAAAATACACCTTATGTATGAAAATTTAAAGTACAGAATAGGAAGGTAATAAGCATTATTGAATTATGCAATAAACATAAAATAGTGGTAGATTTATAACGCCCATATGATAACCCTATTCTCCAATGGAATATAACATAATATTTTAGTAGTAATCAACGCATGGGGTTTGAGCTTATTAAGGTAACCACTTATCTGGATAGAGAGAGACTGTAGGTCTACAGTAGGTACAATGCCTGTCTCTGGGACAGAAGCGAAATTCACAGCTAGCGATGGTTCGAGTCTCTAAGTTCAAAGCTCGTGATGACAGCCCGCGAATCTCAACTGCTATATGATACCTAATGATATACGATCCTAAGAAGCATTTGCCATGGTCAATTGTGTGCAGAATAAAAATATTTTATGGTTATATTATATAAATTTTATGTACACATAATTATTTTTATTTTATTTTGTTGGATTAATGGGGGTTGGAGAGCCACACAGAAAGTGATTAATGTTACTACAGTATTTACAATCCGGTCCAGTGACCTCCTGAAAACATTTTTAATTGTCTTGATTTGTGTATTGGTGTTTGAATATTGTACCTTATATCAAGTGACGAAATAAATTAAATAAAATGAAATACATACAGGTTTTAGCATTTATAAACTCATCAAAAATGAATAAAATAAATGACAACTTACTCGTGGGCCTTGTAAACCTGGTAATCCGTAAATTCCTGGTTCACCCCGCTCACCCTGAAAGATATAAACAAAATATACACTCTGTAACAACTTTAATTATTCCAGTTATTGATTTTATATAAATAGTTTACCAAATATATATATATATACACCAGTACTCTTAATTTATATATACGAAAATTTTATGCTGAAATATCATTAATATAATGTCCAACTATACTGACCTTTTCACCTCGTTCTCCCCTGCCCCCTTGAGTACCAGGTTTGCCATTGGATCCCTAAATATAAAGTGTATGCAAACCTTTATAAATTACTGAATATGAAACAGTCGGAGCAATATGAATAAATAATTATCCAATTAAGAGCAAATCTTTATCTATTTATGCAAATATTTATAGAGCTCCATAGAGAAATATATTTGAACCACAGACTACAAAGGTAACGGTGTCAGATGAATTATGGCCCACTGTGTAGTCAGCCCTTCTCAGCCTTAATCCATCATGAATTTGTTCCCTATCCAGCCAGTATGTACTTAACTTTCGCTGGTCCGAAATCCATAGAAAATTTCGAATTCACTAGGCATTTCGGCCCCTAATCCGTTTAGGTAATTTATTATTTATTATTTATTTATTATACTAAATTTTAAGAGGGTAATTCTTACAGCACAAAGCTGACTATAAGAGGCCTTTTGAGTACAGTACAATAATACAAAACAAAAAGGTACATGAAACAAACAAGAAAAAAAAAAAGTAAGTAAGACACCAGGCAGCAGAGAGCAAGGAAATAAGAAGAGGATTATTGATTAAGTTTGAAGTAGGATTTCAGTTGAAATTTAAAGGATGAGAGAGTAGAATCATTAAAGAAGGAGAGAGAGAGTTCAAGAGGAGATAAGTGGCTCGATAATGAAATGATTTTTTGAAGAGTTCAAAATATTCGGACGAGGGACGACAAATTTAGGAGAAGATTGATATCTAGTCTGTGGGCCTGGTTCTATTAAGGCCTGAAGAATGCCGAATTCGCTATGATTCGCTATCTATAGATACACCCAGAATTATTGCATAGGTATACTTACAGGTGTTCCAGGCGGGCCTTGGTGTCCTTCTTTACCTTTCAGTCCAATAGATCCCTAAAAAAATCCATAGTAGTTAAAAAGTGATTGTTTGTATATCCCCATAAAACACCCAATTAAAACATAGAATAAATGTTTTTCATTATACTTAAATTAAACTTTTTTTGTACTAAGCTACGTTTCTTAGAGTTCTAGATATTCATTGTTGGCCACGTAATTATTAGATTGATTATAAGTTTCTTTGCAAATAATGTTAGTTAATGAACTTAAAAAAAATATCAACATCCACTTGTAAATAATTTGCATATTACTTACAGGTCGTCCTTCTTCTCCCTGATCTCCTGGTGAACCTGGTTCGCCATCTTCTCCAGGTGACCCATCTTGACCAGGTGTTCCTGCAAGTCCTGGTTTACCAACATGGCCCTATAGAATATATAAAAAAAAAGTGAGTGAATAAATTCATGTGAGCTTTAATAATAATTCGTTCATCGTGACTTATTTAAAAATTATCTCTTTGGATATCCTGTCTTGTCAAATTCTGTTCCATTTCCTACGTTTTCATTATGACACCGCCAGAACAGTTCTGCACCTCTACATACAAGCCGGTAAATTGTAACGAGTAAGGTTTACTTTGTGATCAATGCCGTAGCCAGGATTTTCAAACGGTGGACCCACTTTACGGGTAAATTAAAATAATGTGGACCCATTTTCCTAAAAGTTCTCCCATTTTACACAAAAATATGAATAATCTGGACCCATTTTTTTAAATATTTACCCATTTTACGCAAAATATCAGAAATTTGGACCCACTTTCTTAAAAGTTGACCCATTTTACACAAAATATGAGAAATCTGGACCCATTTTTAAAACGTGGACCATTCTTTGTGGACCCAATAGAGAAATGGTGTGGGTCTGTCCCAAATGTCCCAATAGCTGGCTACGGCATTGTTTGTGATTTGGATAACTCGCATTTTTCTAAATATTTGCGAAAGCCTGTACGTTTCGGTCAAATAAGAAATCACTAGTAGTTATCAGTGAAGTTCACTTACCATTGGTCCAGCCTCCCCAGGCTTCCCCATGGGTCCTCGTAGGCCAGCCAGTCCCTGTGTAGTAAAAGAATATTAATTAAAGAAATCGTCTGTGATGAAATGTCTAAAAAATTAAAATTTACATACAATATTCTGATGGCTTACTCCGGGTATTTTTTAATGCACAACTTATGCGATGATTAAAATTAAGTTCTCATTAACATGTTACTAGTCCTACTTATTGTTACAGGAATATGCATTTTAAATAATTCTTAACATTATAAACGTTGTTGTGTTCTTAAACGTCTTAATTTTAGTTCTATCTTGCTGAATATATATTTTACTCGGTCTGTATTTATTTATATTACAACAAAGTGTCTTTTCTGCTTAGTTGTTGCTGTGTGATTTGGTGGTTTCGTTATTTTCCATGCTTTATAAAAGTCAATTGGAATTATATATTTGTTGAATTGACAAAGATAATTATTATTAAAACGTTTGTCACTACGGCGATAATTTTCAAAATCAAGTCATCGGTGTAAATTAATATTAATGTACCTACTTGGTGACCTGGATCTCCAAAATGCCCCTTTTCACCAGTCTCGCCAATCCATCCCTGTGAACAGTGTAATAATATTATTGTATTATGCTGTCTTCACGCCTTGGAAATAACTTTTCTTTTTCGTTTGCCTCTCCAAAATTATGAAACTTTCTTCCACCTGAACTTCGATCAGCTTCAGATACATATGCATTCAAAACTCTCAACGTATGTTTTAATCGATAATTCTTATCATATCATTAAGTGTCATTGACAAATAATATTTTTAACAGGCGCCATACAATATTTTTCCAATTTATTATAAATATATCATTGTTCGTTTCACCTTTGTATTTTTGGCAATGATTGCCTATATATAAAAACAATTATCCAATTTAAGCAGTTCGACCTGTGTAGCAACACAGTGTCAATGAGGACAGCTTTAACGGAAAACAGATAACAACATGTAAGCTAAATTTTACATACCATACATATAACATTTCTATCATGCAGAACGACGCTTTAAAAAAATACCCATGATTTGGTATTATAAAGGTATGAAGCCTCAGAAACATTAAACTTAAGTAGTTGCTGCTTACTTTTTGTCCTTTGAAACCATTCCTTCCTGGTTCACCTTGATCCCCTTCTATGCCCTATAAATAATACAAGGATTATTTCAGATTTTATACTATAATAGCTCCATAACTCAACTTTTCTATTTATAATGTGTTAAGTGTTTAATTCACATAGTCCTGTGTGCATGTTCTGTTAATATCAAGATATAAACAATATTTTATTTACGTGTCCTTACTTCCACCGCAAATCCGATCTATGCGTCTACAGTACATACGATTAGAACACTGCAAACCAATTTACCCTCCCCATATTCGTCTGTCAGTGTTAGTTTGTATCGTTCTTCTACTACGCGTATACACCATGGAATAAAAGTTGACTTGAGTACTACCTCCTATTATTTGTAGTTTGTACTGTGTGGAAAGAAACGCATACTTACCAATTTACCAAGAGAACCAGGTGATCCCTTCTTACCCTTCGGCCCTGGTGCACCCTAAGAGGTAAATATTAATGACACACAAGATAATAAAATTAGGCCTAATGATGACAACAACAATAACATCAAGGGTGTGTATGAAATGTGTAGCATCACAGAAGGAGTTAGTTTGATAGTGTACAACAAAATTTGGCTTAGGCCTGTCCTTCAAATAAACTATATGTACAGACATATTTATAGTTCACATGAATTAATTTCAACCACTATACTTACTGTTGACCCGGGATGTCCGACCATACCTTCATGTCCCATTTGACCTCGTGGACCCTATGAAGAAACAAGAATTTTTGTAATACGTTTGTCTAACCAACTATAACCAAATCATTGTAACATTCAATAATTTCAATTAATAAAATAATATATACATTGAACATGACTTTAATAAAAACGAAATTGTCATCGTATTCTTCCATTCCTAAATTTAAATAATTCATCATTTTTTCTATGAAATATCAACCTCTTGTCATCTTGGTAAGATATTTGTTAAAATTATAATTACGTGTCGACACACTGCTGACAGAATATACTGTACACACACTACAAATGGTGATAATACATTGTGGGAGCTACAGGTATCTTGATATCTTAATTAGCTTTTTCTGGATTCCATTCTATGCCCTATAAAATTTATAAGGAATATTTCAGACATTATCCTGTTAGTGTACAGCGTAGTTCCATAACCTAAGTTTTAATAAAATATTCGACCAATGAAGGATTCACTCCTCTTTGCACCAATAACGGTACCTGTTCTCCAGTTTCACCTCTTTCTCCATTCGTTCCTCGAACTCCTTTTATACCATTCGCTCCTCTGTATCCCCGTGGACCTGGTATTCCTGGGTCACCTTTCTCGCCCTGTAAGGTATACGGTACAGTTTATATGTATTACATCGTTCATTTTTGACTTGAATTGCGATATCATTTTTATACCAATATGCCTAATAATAGTAATATAGAACGTATTATTTTTAGATGACGCAACACTACTTGATAATTTTGGGTTAAGGAAAGGTTTTGTAGCTGGCATGAAAGATTAGAAGACTATATGGCTCTCTTGAAGCTAATTAAATTCATTTTGGGTTATAAATTTGTCATTCTTTCTGTCTTAACAGTTCAAATGCCTTAAATTAATAAACCACGGTACGGCACACCTCCTCCACCCAAAAAAATGTTTTGAACGTCCATACCTGTAAGCCTGTCAGACCTCTCTCCCCTTGCCTCCCGTGATCTCCATGGACACCAGGTACACCTGGAACACCTGGTTGTCCAGGCGGTCCTTGTCGACCTCTTGGACCCTATTTATGTTATGAGAAAGCATGATTCAATAGCAATCTATAACAATCGAAATAATATTGCCAACAATGAATATTTCATAGTACCAATATGTCATCATAATCCAAAGAAGATGCAAAACAATATTTTATTAAACGGGATTCGCTTTAGTTTTGATTTTAGCTAATAGCTAATAGTTGTAAGTTACCTGTGAGCCGGACTCTCCCTTCGATCCCATCGGCCCAATGCCTCCTCGAGGCCCCTATGGAAAGATATATAGAATAATAAATTCGGTATAATCCAACAGAAATTAAAATCATCGTTAGAAGGCTTGGGATGCTGACAATTTTAAATTAAACAGAAGATTTGTGATTTAAACTAAATTTCATATAGGCCTACATAACATAATGTACTTGTGTTTAAAACTCTATTACCATCACTACGGAATTATTATTTCATGTACAAATGGTCAAATATATTCAATATGCCAATATGTTTCTGGTTCTGTATCTAATATTATCAGTAAACATCATTGAATATTTTGAGAATAGTAGACACATATATAAGACATTTACCGGATATAATAAGTGTAAACATAGCAATACATTTATATTTCCAGATACCACACTAATTATAATAACAAGTGACAGAATAAGTTTGGAGTGTTAAATTTAGCAAAAATCTTGAAACATTCTACTGTATGGGGACTGGGGAATACTCTAGGAGGGGACCCTATTCCATAAAGATCAGAAGCCCTGTAACCAATTACAGTATAGTTTATTTAATAGGCCTATTTAAACTTACCGGATCTCCACGTACTCCGGAGGGACCAGTTTGACCTTCAGGCCCTATTGGCCCTTGATGTCCATTTTTTCCCGGTAATCCTCGTATACCTTGCTTTCCTTTAGCACCACGTTCACCTTTCGGTCCCGGTTCTCCTTGAGGTCCAGTTTTTCCCACAACACCCTATATTCAGTAGGTCAAAAACGTTAAGGTAATAGTAAAACTGACTTAAATGATTTGGAAAGTAAAAAGTGATAAACCAATGTTAGATTCAAACCTATTTTGGGTAAAAATATATTAATTGTAATTTTAATTTACTTGGCAAAATTAGGATGATATTACCATGGATCTTATTAATAGGCCATGATATTAAAAAAAATAATATGTCGTTCTTATATAGCGCTTCATGCACAAAGCCCCTAAGCGCTTCACATTACTACCACGGTCATTGGATCAAACACATATGGAACACATACTCAACACGAAATGAAATTATTAACTTAAATTATATTATTATTCCATAATATTGCAGCTAGTAATCAGCACAGTTGTGTTTGAACCTACCAGGTACCCACTTGTATTACAGATTGAATGCATAAGTATTTCATTTTTTTTTTATTCAGGGGGTGGACCGGATTGCCAATAGCAAAATTAATCACATTCTATGTGGCTCTCCAACCCCCATCTAATAAAATAAAATACAAATAATTATGTGTACATACAATTTATACAAAATATAACCATAAACAATTACAATTAAGATGTTCAGTTATAAAATGCATACAAATTTAGTTTCTGTACAGAAAATTCATAAAAGGTATTATAAAAATTGCTATAAAAAAGTAAAAATGCAACACTTATTAGTATTATTTCGCCTGTGATCATATTCAGATAATTAGGCCTTATCTTAGGAGGAAAATAGTATATGAGTCAATGAGATGATATAAACTTGGAGCTTGGATATGAAGGTGTTTAAAGACCTTCTATAAAATGTTTGCCAAAAAAATAAAATAAAACGGCCCTCATCACCGCTTCTATTGTGCAAATCGGGTAATTCACAATGAATGTCCTTCTTTATAGTGCCATTCTATGTAAAATGCAATACAGGTAAAATTCAATTCATTATTACATTAATATATCATTTTCAAAATACTTTTTTAGAAAGACTAAGAAATATTGAAATAATAATAGAAATTATTACCATTAAACCTCGCATTCCGACAGGACCTGGCAGACCATATTCACCAACCTGCCCCTGTTAATAGAAAATGGGATAGACGGATTTAGAAATTAAGAATTTCATTCCCCGTATGAGGACTTACTGTACTAACAACCATGATCATGATGTTAACATAACATATTAATAATTGAATCAATCAACCAACCAACCAACCAACCAACCAACCAACCAATCAAAACAAGACAATAAAGTATACAGTCTAAATGGGATAGACGGATTTATAAATTAAGAATTTCATTCTCCGTATGAGGACTTACTGTACTAACAACCATGACCATGATGTTAACATAACATATTAATAATTGAATCAATCAACCAACCAACCAACCAACCAATCAAAACAAGACAATACAGTATACAGTCTAAATGGGATAGACGGATTTAGAAATTAAGAATTTTATTCCTCGATTTATGATTTAACATTTGAGACATGTTAACAATTTGTGCAGTAAATCTACGCTAATAACTAGTAGTACAGTAGTAAAACCCTTTTAGTTTTAGTTGTCTTTGAACTTAGTTTTGTAGTGTCTAGTCACATGGTCACCATAGACCATGATATTAACATAAAATAAAATATTACATAATGAATGAATCAATTAATCAACTAATCAGAAACAAGACAATACAGTAGTTCATGTAGTTATATTAGGCCTAAACAACAACAAAATGTACCTGTGGTCCGATAGTGCCTCTATCCCCTCCGTCTCCTTTTATTCCCATCTTCCCCTGTCAATAAAAATATATATTTTTCAAAAATTAAAGATAGTAA